TATATATATATATCTTATGAGGGTCTGAATTATCTGAACCTCACAAAATGGCTATCAAGAATTCAAATTTGCATCTTTAACATTTGCGCTAATTTGGATTTAGCAGTAACATTTGAAACTAAGAATTTTTACCTTCGATCAGCAATAGGGTCCTATATTGTTTCTGTGGGAAGATGAGTAAGGTATAATTTGGGGACTCGCTTGAAATAGTTTCTTTTTCTTCAAGAATTTAGACACAAAAATATTATAATTTTTTTTAGTTGTATATTTAATTATACAAATATTGAGTGAAAAATTTTGAGCTTAAAAATCCTTTAATCCCCTCTGCCCCCGCAGATTCTGCGATCCCTGAGAACAAGTAAATTATCTAGAATAATAAACAAAGAGTATTTTTGTTTATAATCCAAGAGTTAAAAAGGTACCAAGCCACACTTTCAAATAGAGTAATATTTTGGGTCATTTGTATGAAAACTTTTTCGTTCCTTTTTTCAAAGCCATTGGTTTCAAATGAGAAAATATGTTTTGTAAAGAGATTACAGCCTGATACTAATTATTATTTTTTTTAAATGTAGGTTTAACAATTCATTAAGAGATAATTTGTTTTTGAAAAGAAAAATTATTAAATCTAAATTTAGTATGAAATCTATAATGCAAGTGCAACAAAGAATTCTACGTTGAGGTTTTGGGGGCTCTTAATGGTATTACATTAATACAATACATATTTTTAAAGACATAACTACTTATTTTATAATTAATTAATAATAACACATTTTATCAATTTTTTATTACTTTTCCCCACTAATACAGTAAATTACTACTGGTAAACACAGAAATTCAACACCATTAAATAAATATTCAAGATTCCATAGAATTATTTTACCAACATCTAATATTGAAATAGAACTAAAATTTAAGTACTTTAATTAAACATAACCATTACCTAAAAGAAAGAAAAAAAAAGTTATTTCTTTTTCCTTTTAACAGATTTCACATGAACATTAGCATTAGACAAAACAACACATGATTGAATAATAATTATTGTAAGAAAAATATTTTCACTAAAAAATCTGTACACTTTAACACAACAAAAACATTAGGACCACAATTAAAGAGAGAAAAAGCAATCATAATATAAATTAGGTGATTATAATGCATTTAGTAATACAGAAAATTAAAAAATTAAATCACTTTACAACTGAGAAAAAATTCAAACACATACCATTGTTGTATAGTTGCACCATCTTCTAGAGTAACTTTCTTCATGTGGAATAAATTATTGTCAATGATTTCATTCAATTCTTCCTCTTCTAATGAGTGGTATACCTTCAATTCCTCCTCCGTCATTGAAGCAAGTTTTCTTTCTATAAGAATACACAGTTAAGTTCAGATTATTAACTACTTTTAAAATAACATGGACATAAAAAGAAGATGTACGGAAATTCTTGAATGACATTTAGAGGCCGTTTAAATATTACGTACATTACAGGAGGGAGGGGTGATCTGCTTATATTTGCAGGCAGGGGGAAAGACAGTTACAAGCACTATGCTTATGTAAGCTAAAATGGCTCAGGGCATACAGCATTCGCTTCCCAATGAGGTAGGTGATTACGGTTTGAATCCCAAGTGATGGCTGGTAAATATGAATACTGCTCCCGTCTCGCACCGATCTAAGTGATTGACCTATCATGAGTTAGAATCTCTTTGATGTCGGGATAACTGTGGAAAGTTTTCCCGGTTTTCCTCTTCATGTAAGATCCAAAATTCTTTAACTTATGCAAGATCCTAAAATCTACTTATTTTTAATTTTTTTTAAAATGCAAACAAAATTATGTTGAAATAATTTTAAAAAATGAAATAACAGTTAGCCCTTTCGCTGTTGGCATTGCATCTCATATGTTCGGCGATTTTGTGCCCGTATGGTCGGCGTCACATGCCATGTGATGAAGAGAAAAATTGCATCATTGAAACTCAATTCGTCGCTACTTATACACACTTCTTTAAATCCTGCTAATATTTTTGTATTGCTGAATATAGCTAAGATGGTACAACTAGTCCCAATTTTTGTAGTGAGATTTCCCACCTTGAATTGAAATGAAAATCATTTTGTACTTTCTGTAATTTTGCTACCACAAGTCATAGGTAATATGTTAATTCAGTTTTGTGTTAAACGTAATTTTTACGCTCTGATGCCCAAGTGGACAGGACATAACAGATTTCACCACACCACCAATAGGTTAAGTGAAAAATTGCTTGCTGACAAAAACATTTTGCATTTTTGAATTTAGGATAGAACATATAACTTTTAGCAAAAAAAAAAAAAAATATATATATATATATATATATGATAGAGAAGGAATTAAATTTAGAAAAAATTTCATTAAAGAGTTGCAAACTTTTATAGAATAAATTTATATTTAAATTTTGCCTTTCACTAAGTAACAGATTTTATTTGAATTTTATCCGAAAACTAGATTACTACAATAAAAGTTAAAGCCAAAAACAAGAGGGGATTTGTGAATTTCTAACATATGCCGAAGAGAGGGTATGTATAAAAAAAAAGAAGCTTACATAACATTTTAACAGCCCTTCATTCAAAATCCTAGCCAGGATTGAGAAGAGAAATTTGGTGTAAAAGTTTGGTTTTTAAGTGGAGCTATTGCAACCATATGGTGGACTAGAGCTGTAACCATACAATTAAGTTAACCACGCTACAGATAAATAGAAACCATCACCATTTCATGCACCAAATTTGTTTCATACATACCCTCTTCTTCTTTCATCCTTTCCAATTCAGCTGGTGTAAAGTAACTAAATTGCTTTACATCAACCATCGTGGGTGCTTGAATGGGTTTAGTAACTAACTCAAACCTTCTCTTTTTCTCACTGAATGTTAATTGCTCAGGATCATCAACAAATGGAATGGCAACCTTTAATTTTGAAAATATATTTATTACACACTAGAATTAAATATTAAAAAAAAAAAAGTCTTTAAATAAGTATGTATTTGCATACACCAGGAATTATGTTACAGATTTATACCTTGTTATACAATTAATCACATGTTATATTTGTGCCACTACACTCACAATGATTTAATGGAGGGCCCAACATGGGAAACACAAAGTAATAAAGAGGAAACTTAAGAGAAGAAAATTGATTTCTGATATGATTTGAATGATCTGAATTGGAACTGATTTCTGGTAGTTTACAGCATTTTTAAATTTCACTTCCTTAGGGATTGTAATCAAAATGATCTAGTAGACTAGTGCATTAGCTTCAATTCATTTATTATTTAAAAATCTGATATTTGTAAATATACTCTTTACAAAAAAAATTAATTTTACAGTTATTTAAGTTTTTTTCAGAATTCTTTTTAAGGTACAGTGGTAGTAATAATATTTTACAGGTCACAGAGCTGCGCAATGGGTTTGGTGACGGTCAGGGAAACATCCCTGAGGATGATTTGAAAGACACGCCATCAAAATTTTAAACCTCTGCAGAGGAGATGGCTCCCCTACTTTGGTAGCCCGCGATGTGCACAAGTAGTCTAGCACTTTACTGTAGAACAGACTAACCAGGACGATCACCACACATCCTCTGTCGCGAGGCGACTGATCAAAGTGGTCCCCCACCCGTTCATTGACCACAGCCAGTGATGCTTCACTTTTCTTAGAACCGTGTCTTTACAATCAGTATACTGCAGGACTTCCAAGATACGGAAATCAGAATGCTTGAATATTGTGAAATTAACAAAATTAACGAAGCAAGAAGAAAACTAAATAGATGGCTTTAAAAAATGCTTGAAGAAAAAAATATTGAAAATCATTTGGCCTGGTCACCAGAGTGAAAGAGGAGGAGAGGTAGGCGGAGAACAATACAGCAAGTATGATTATTAATTTGTTATCGGAGAAAAAACGATTCACTGAATAAACAACTCACAACAGCATTCTCTAGTTTAGTCTGCATAGTAGTGATTGAACTGCACTTCTGGCAATAGTGCCATCTGTTGAGGAATAAGAGAAGTATTTTTTTGCCATTAGCTGATATCTATCATTAAAAAAAATTTAAATGTTTTCAAAAAATACAAAGAAATTTGGAAGAAAAAAAAATGAGTACACGGGAGAGAATCATAAAACACAGGAGTCTTGGTTAAAGAACAGGAGGCTTGGCACGTATATCAATTTCATTGGCAGAGTTGGAATATGCCGGAGAAGATGGAGGGCAGAGATGCACCTTTCAGGAGTAAAAAGCTTCACTAGCTTTAGTATTTTTATCACTGTCTATTGCTACAAGTATAGAGAACTTAAATATTGCTACCTCAAGTGTCCCCTTCCTTTTAAAGCTTGGGAAGACAAAAATTATTTATTAAATTTACGATATTTAAGGGAATTTTCTTTTTTTAAATTCTTGGACATTAATAATTATTGCAATCACATGTTGTTGCAGTCAATATTTGAAAAGCAGACTTACTTTAGATAGTTTTGGCATAACAGGTTTTGCACCAGGAAGTCTAGCTCTGTGAATAGGATCAACCATGGATTCATCTGTACTTACAGTTAAATCAGCATCAGGAGAATTAAAGTGAATAGGAGATGGCATATCTCTTCCCTGAAAATGTTTTAAATAGGTTTGCATTACATATGGCAGTCAATTCATAAAGTATGTTGAATCAATAAGTAGGGCCAGATTCACCAAGAAAGTCATAAAAAAATGCTTGGAAAATAAGTCAGGGATATAGAGGGATTATAATGTAACACTTATCAATAATTAAGAAAGTAGGCAACAATGATTTGGTAAAAAAGAAAAATACTTTGCTGAATATTTGACCAATCATTTGACAAAAGGGCCAAATACTGAATATGCGTTACATCGCTATCAACTATGACACAAATTTATAATGATTGCATAAACAGGCTTTGCAGTGGGTCAAAGAAAAAAATCAGGACAACTTTTTGGAATTGTATACATATAATATACTTTTAAAAGGTAAATTTTAAAAAAAATTTAATTTGCTTACAATAATATGCATTAAAAGCAAATTTATCAAAAAAGGAATATAAAAAATAATTTTTATTTCAGAGTTACTTTGTTAAAAACAAATTTAAAAAGTTTTTAGTTTAATTGCATCAATACTGAACAACTCATAATAGTTTCAAATCAACACAAGAAACATTTTTATAGAACTGCTGTATTAAAAAAAAAAAAAAACTTATAATTGGTTCACATTTTTTAATAAAAATGTGCAATTAAAATTTTTCAATTAGTTCAAGATTTCTTTTATTAAATAATTTTAAATTGGAGTTTCAATAACCTTAAAATGAAAACACAGTTTAGTGGATGATCCCACAATTTATAATTTAAAAATTACACAGTATGACTACTGTACTTTTGATTGAAATTGATAATTTTAAAAGCAAGTAAAAGATACAAATCATAAACTGTGACACTATAAAAGTACACTTAAGGAGATCTGTTACTAGATTTGCTTAAAATAAGTAAGAGTACAACACCTGAATTCATCACCATTAGAATTTAACGATTTAAAACTGTTAATCGAGTTTCTTTTTCCCATAATGAATGAATTTCCAAAATTGTTCAAATTTTACGATTTTTACTAGAGTTAGTTATTAAAATAAAAAGGTGTTGGATCAGAAATTCAAATTTTTCCATTCATTATTTTTTTTGAAAAATTCTCATTACATAGCTGCCAACACGGAAAAGAAAAAATTCCAGTAGATTTTACGAAATAATATATATTTTATGATAATTGTTACAAAATATACTAAATATTTTTTACATAGGGGGTTTCAGGGATTTTTAACCATCAAAATAGAAAAACTGAAATGTCTTCCAGTTTTGATTCCTCATCAAATGATCATGAAATGTTATTTATTATGTTCATTCCCAATTTCGAATAGTAATAGGCATTTACTTCATCAAAGATTGTTAACTGAATTTTATAAATGAGGCTCGCTTTTTTTATGTATTAGAGACACTTATTTAAATATTCAAGCAAGCAATAATCTGCACAAAATTTCTATTTCAATAGGGATTTTTTAAGGGAACTTTCTCAATTTAAGAGAATTGTATTCTTATAAAGTAGGTTATTCTGATCATACACAAAAAATCAAAAATATCAGAATGCAAAGCTAAAACTCAGGAAGAATAAGGCCAAAATATTTTCAATCAGGAATATCAGGGCAACTACAAACCCTGCATAAGAGATAATGGTTATGAAATACTTATTTTTTTTAATTATTAGGGAAAGCAAATAGAGAAGTTTTAAGAATTTTTCTCACCTCCACTTTCACAGGTGTACTATACATAACTTGATCAGTACAATTTAGGATATTCTCAGCACTAGAGTATCTGATCTAAAATAATAATAAAAATATTGAGTATAAAAGAAAGAAGTTTCATAATATATAAGAAAAAGATGAATGAAAATGCTTACATCAACAGAAGCTGGATCCAATTTCTGTTCATATCCATCGCATACTTCATTTTCCTTTTCTCTATGTTGTTCCTAAATTGATAACAATGAATAATTATAAAACCACTGACATAAATTAAAATTTTTTTTAATGACAAAAGTCCATTGAATTTAGTAAGTTTCTCATAAAGTTGAAATTTTTAGTTAAAATTTTTTTTTTTAGCTATTCCGAATTTCAAATTCAACTTATTGACACTATCATGCAGGGTGCGTAGCCAGATTTTTCATAAAAAATAAGCACCTTTTAAGCACTCAAAAATTTTTTTAAGTCACTTTCCAAAAAAAAAAAAAAAAAAAAAAAAAAAAAAAAAAAAAAAAAAANAAAAAAAAAAAAAATCAGAATTAGGATCTGCACAGTAATAATTTTTTTTCCTTCTATCGTTTGTAAGTTCTTAATTTACAAACAAAAAATCAATAAAATTCAAAAATATTTCCAAAACCTTTACATAATCATGATAAAATAACTAGCTTCTGATAATTATTGCAGAGAAAATTGTGAAAAATCATGTATTTTTTGTAATTTAGAACGACAATCGACAAAGCAAAGGAGATCTTTTTTGAAGGATAGAAAAAATTAAGCACTTTTTACAAACTCTGAATAAAAAAAAAACACCTTTGAGGGCTTTTTAAAACGTAAATCAAAAATAAGCACCTTTAGGCACTTTTTAAAAACACTACGCACCCTGTCATGTTCTCAAGCACTTCAAGCTTCTTAACGTCAGACATTATAAGCATGCTCAGTAGATTTTTTAAAAAAAATTATTAATTATAAATCACAGACAAGCAACAACAGTATGGGAGTACTTTGTAGTAGCAAGCAATTCTGTATTTTTGTGGTTATTCTGCAACTTTGTCTATTACACGACAGCTATTATTTGAATAGTAGTGCAACTCAACTTATCAAAACAATGGAGTTAGCCTGACTTTCATGTTCATACAAGTCGTTTGTGTTTTGAGTACACTTCAAGCTATTTCTTCCTTCAAACAGAAAAAACCACAAATGAAACAAAATAATAAAAAAAAAAACAATATGCTCATTAGACTTCAAGGTGATAGATCTCAAATAGAGTGGGGCGTGTCTGCTACAAGTTTAAATGCATCAAAATTTATTTACGCAGAACGATAATCTTAACTTGAGGGTCTGTAACTTTCTTTTCATATTTTGATAGAAAAGATACGGCACTTTTCACTTTTGATAGAAAAGATACGAAAAAAAAGGTACGGCGAATTCTCCGGTGTTAGTAATAACACAATGCACAGAATTAGGTTATCATAAATTTGGATACATTAAAAAAATATATATATAATTTATGTAAATTGAGCAACTTTCCATATTATTAGAGTTTTAAAATGGAGCAACCTTTTTTTGAAAGAAATCATTTAATTGCTGAATATAAAATTCAAAAGATATAATCTGAAGTTTAAAATAAAAGTTACACACCATCTTTTCCATATCTTCTTTTTCCCACTGAGCTGTTTCTTTTAAAACTTCTTGTTCCTAAAAATAAAATTTTAATAAAAATTGGACTCAAATATAAATATTAGCAAAATAAGTTTCAATTTAACTAGGAATCTTTATTTATTTTTAGATAGTGATTATATAAATATTATCCTGTTTAGTTTAGACACAAACTCTTCTTAACGTCCTTTTAAGCACAGCCTTAAAAACCATAATACTGTGAATAATCCTAACAATTTCAATCAAATATATAACTTTCACTATAAACTAAGTCACTAAACAGTAAATGCTTAACCATTTACTGTCGATAGCAAACTTAGACTGGAGTACACACTGATTACTTTCCAGCACAAAAAAGCACATTTACTCCTACTTTTTTTTTGTGTTTGCCAAAATTTTTTTTGTTATGTAACACACATAATACATGGGTGAATAAGAAGCTAACATCTATTTCGCCGTAACAAAACTCACATAGATTATAATATATATTTTTTTGAAGCCTGAAAGCCATACTGCCATTCAATTGGGAAAAAAAAAAAAAAAACGCAAGTGCCTTCTGGTAGATTAGAGAAGTGGCTCGACAACTATTTCCTTTTCTATTGCCCATACAGATTTTATGACCCCCCCACCCACCCCCAAAAAATAATAATGACAGGCAACTGAAGAAATTTTTTCTTTGTTGCCAAGAAAAAAAAAACAAAGTTTTCTGACAACGAGATGAAACAGAAATAATTTACCTGTCTGATAACACTCATCATTTCATCATCTCTATCAATGGAACATGACGAATGAAAACTTTTCATTGTGACAGGTAATTCGAGATTATCTTCACAAGATGTTTCATTAAATCCATCGCATACAGTTAGTCGAACAGTATCACAAGCTGTACGTAAGGCTGTAATAGCTTCCTGATATGTTGCTCCTAACAGAGATGTTTCATTTACCTATTAAGACAATTTCTTATTAATACAATTTACCAAAAACGACAAAGACATGTACGTGTACCTTTTACAGTAAGTTTCATATAAAAGCAGCTAACCTAATGGGTGGTGTTTTCACTATAAATGTAAACAACAACCTCACGCTCTTGACTTGCTCTACTTCCGGTTAGGAAGTGTACAGCTGCTTACTTTACCTTATGCTGCGAGGCGATATTTTTTTAACAGATAATTTTGCTTTTAATAAAAGAAATAAATTATATTATATAATTTCTGGGCTCAAATCTGCTGTATTTCATAAGATATTAAGTAATTCTGGTGAGTTTAAAGTGAAAATTTGTTTTAGTTATTAATAGATGTCTTTTTAAAAAAGACGACATGGCTACGATGCTAGATTTAGAAAGAACTTGCTCTTTTGGTGATCCCAATTTGGCCTCTTTTTTACTTATTTATTACTGTTTGTTCTTATTGCGAGTCGTGCGCCATCATACATTAAGTGTTAGCATGTAATTCGAACAGCAAGATTAAGTTTATTTTACAAATTATAATTTAGGTTTAAATTACGAAGTTGTGTTGACAGGATAAGAAGTGTTTAAATGAGGATTTTTTTTTCTCAAATGACAATTTTTACATCTTGAAATGACAGGTTTTCAAATGATGATTCTTATAGCAATTTTTTTTTTATATACAAATAATAAATCAGATAACAAATACAAGCATATAACTCAAGAGAGTCTCAAAACACAATGATCACATTGTGAGCTAAACAGCTTGAAAAACACCGGAAACAGTAACCTGGAAGTATAGTCAGTAAAGAGACTGCATTGCACCCTAATGTAGAAAACACCATCCATACAAAGATCTTAATTTTAGTTTAAGAATGCGTTTTTTTTTTTTCATACATAGTTTTAATCTCAAAAGAAATACTGAATTCTTTTCATTATAACAAATCATGATAATAATTTAGTATTAAATACAGTTAAATTAAAAAAAAAAAAAAAACTATTTTTAGTTATATTTCAAACATTGTGAATTACTTAACCTGGAATGAACTGAAATATAACTTTGGCATAACTCAAATTGATATATGGTGCGCTTCAAAAAGAGACAAAAACAAATGAGAAATATTTTGCCAATACAAAAATTAATTCAATAAAAAACATACCTCAACAATTCTCATTCCAGGTAATAATCTGCCATCCAAACCAGCTGCACCATCAGAGTTTACCTAAATGAAAGATGCAAATTAGTTCCAAGTAAAAATCTACGCAAGTAAAGCAAGAATTTGTAATGTCTTCTGATAGCTACATGTGAAGCGTTTAAGATTTTCTTAAAAATTTATTTCGCAATTCTGTTAATGGTATGAAATTTCAGTTTTAAAGGTCCAGGCAGATTAAAATTTTTACTTGCAACTATTTTCACAAAAATTATGAATAATTTTTAAAATGTTAACAAATGTAGTATGAAGAACATTTTGGTGACCAAAAACATAAAAGGTCATAGAAAAACATTTATAGCAAAAAATAATATTTATTTAAAATAAGGTTGTCATATGGTTTTAATGATTCCAATATCATCAAAAGTGATTGAAATAAGATAAATATCAGAAATTTTGCCATATTTATAACAATTCACGTTTGTATACATGTATATTGCTGCCTTTCGGCACAAAAATACCATTTGTCAATGTTAAAATATGATAGGACGGATCCAGGAAAATTCAAGTAAATCAATTTACCTTCTGTTCACAAATAATTGCCGCAGTTGCAGACTGATATTTTCTCCGAATTCTACATATAAATGCTATCACTGGAAAATTTTGGATAGTTTGGATAGATCACTGGAAAATTTTGGTCAGATAGAAAACGTAACAACCAGCCCTAAATATTTAATTGCCAATGACAAGTCGGCGAGGTCGATTTTCGCAACCTTAACTAGTTACAATTCTTATTTTATCGAAATTATACAATGATCCATAAATTAAATTTCAAAATAGCTATAAAAATTTTTTTCGGTGAAAACGATGACAAGTAATAATGAAGAAACTAAACAGCTTTTAATTAAAAAAAAAAAAAAAGCTAACAATTTTTAAAAAAAAAATAAAGTTACTATTGGAATTAAGTTACTACTTAAGTTACTACTAGTTAGTTACTTAAGTTACTATTGATTATAAAATTTAGAAATCTCCGTTTTTAGTTATTAAACTATTAATTCATTTTTATTGATTTCAATCACGCTAACAGAATTGTTTATGATTTGCATTCTATTTGTTCAGGGTAATTCACAATGTTTGCCTTAAATATATATTTTAAAATTCCTGTAAGAAAGTGATCACAGAAATAAGTGAGGAAATAAAATAAAAACTCTACTCAAAACATCAAAATTTGATTGTCGGAGGAATCAGAGAAGAGTTAAATGAAGATTATTATAAAAACATAATTTTAATGAATCTTTTGATGCATTTTTTCTTACTTTCTTCATTGACAAATGACATTTCTGTTTCACCTACCCGTGAACATTAATTTGGGACTATTGATGTGGGCACTTTTTAGGCTTCATTTTTGACAAGAATTCTAAAAATATGAGCAGACAGCAATTGCCATGGAACACGTTTTATGTGTTAAAACTACAATTTATTATTAATTTTCTTTTTGTTTTTTAAATTTAGCACATTTTGAAATTCAGTTTGACATACTAAAAATGAAGCAATTTTTTATTATTATTTAGAAATTATTACCCATGAAATGAATATTCCTTCATCTTCTTTATCTTTGAAGTTGCCATTTTCACCTCCGACGCCTCCTTTAATGCCCATGCCCAATTTTTCATTGGGATGCTTATTAATCACAATTTCCTTTAAAAAAAAATATTAAAAAATCAATAAGTGCAATACTGCAAATACAGAAGTAAAAAAAAGTGAAAATAGATATTTCTAACATTAAAAATGGTTTATAAATACAAAAATTGAAAAATAGCAATAATTTTTAGAAAATATATTTTTTATTAAACCTTCCAGCACTTTTAGAGTAAAAGTTATTTTGAATATCAATTGAAGCAAAAACTATAATTAAGTACCACAACGAAAATTGCTTCACTGAAGCAACCAAAAACTATCTTCAAGGATAGGTAATATAAAATCTATTGGAATAAAAAATTATAACTAGCGTTAAACCAAACACCAATTTATGGTATACAAAATCAGGTACTTCATACCACAATATAACTATATAGTTGTAAATGTGCTGTTGAATTACAGGTGAAACTTAACTCAGAGCCCTCTGGACAGATGGCCAACCATCTATTCGTAAAGTCACTTTAATTTAGCCACAGATCTGAAGAAAGAAATTTTTTTTATATCCTTGTACCCATGGTACTGTTTATCGACTGACCACAGCACTCGCAATTTCACAGATTTTGGAAGCAGATATATATCTCGCATGTACTTGGGTCTTTGCGGATCAAACCCCAGACCCTCTGGACCGTAGAATGATGCTTTACCCCCAAGGCTACTATGGCCCTAGCTGTAATTGCAAAGCTGCTAGTTTGTATTTCTTATATTTGTACTTAAAATTAGTATAATTTTCTTTTTCAAATTTACAGCATGTTCCATACCTAGAAATTAAAGAAAGCTACTAACACAGGGTTGCCACTCAAATCTGGAAGGGAAAAAAAATCCCTGCGTTCTCCCTGTACATATTATACACAATATATTAAGAGCAAACACAATTACTGTGCTCTTGTCTGAACTATATTGGGCTAACTATACTAGTTTTCATTGCTGGAAAAATGTAGAAAAAAAAGAAAAAAGGAACAGCTGAACATACTATACTAAATGAAATAGTTTGGTAGAGCCCAAATATCCTTAAATATTCCATAGATTACACTTTGAGTAATCACCATTTTTTAAAAAGACTGAAATAAGAAACAAAACTTTCTATATTTTCTCAGTTTGTAAAGAAAAACTCAAAATTCCCGGCATTCTCCCTGTTATTTTAGGTGATTTTTTAATTCCTGGTATTTTCCAGGTTTTCCCTGTGGAGTCGCAACCCTGTATGTCTTACATCGCCCAGGGCCACTAAACTCCTAAACACAGCCCCGAGAATATAACACAAAAGCATAGATTTTTCCCTACACATTTATTATATTAGTAATGAAACATAATAGAAAAGTAAAAGATAAAAATGAAAGAAGTTTTTCTAATGTTAGTATCAAGAAAGTTGAAAATACATATATAGCCTAGAGAGAAAAGAAATTGTACTTACAGTGAGATAGAAAGAGTTGACAGGATCATGTGCAACAAAAAGGTTAAGCATACAAGTGCGCCACCACCAATCCATAAAAAGAGTTCTTAAAGAATTGAGTGCAACTATTATTAAGATTGAAAATAGATCAATTTTCTTATTCAGTTCAAATACAACTTTTTTCCCTCTCAAGATTCATAGAATATTCTAAATTTAGATTGATTTAATGATAGAGAATAATAGTATTTCCTTGATTTTGTTTATTTATTAAACTCAATACAATAATCAAACAATTAAAATACATAAAACTTTCTTTGACAAAATACTGATTTATCTTAAAATTTTTTTTTACTATTTATTTTTAATATTGGTTACACAAAAACAAATAACATTCTTTAGTTCGATTTTTGTAAATGTACACTTAACTGAGAAACATGAAATTTAAATTAATATACCAAAATGTAATGTGAACTATAAAAAAAAAATGTATGCGTAAAAACATTGCTTTTTTAATTATTTATTTCAACTAATTAGTATCAATTAGAAGTTGTAAAAAAATTATAATAAAATCAATACTTGCATATAACTATTTTAACTTATTCAAACAAAATATTTTCAAATAAGGTCTAGTAAAAATTTAACTTCATAGAAATTTGTAAAATAAATATTCAAAGTGAAAGACTGTTCCAGTTTATTTCAACCTAAAAACATTTACTTCTGATATGTATTTACTTTTCCAGGCATTTATTTTTTGTCAGGTTTATAACAGCCATAATATTGTTTAAAACTGTTTATATTTTCTTGCAACTTGAATCTTACACTTTTTTTACAAAATAAACAAAGGAAAAAAAAAAGATTTTTGAAAACAATAGAATAACATATCCAGGAAAAATATGTAATTATAAATTTTTGGTTTTAAGTCTCAATAGCTTAATGGTTGCATTTGCTTGACAACTAGATATATTTAGCATGCGCCTTTTGCAAGATGCAAGCTAAATAAAATTGAAAGGCTTGGAGCAATATAATGATAATGATAAAAGGACCCCCCCTTTTTTTTTTTTACAAAAGTTACATTTTTACATCAAACCTGTCAAGTTCACCAGTATCAGTGAGAGCTGAATTTATCTTATAAAAATAATCTTTATAACTTGACCTCCTTCCCATTTTGTATGTTTATCAGTGAAATAAATTTGTCTAATAGTTATAGTGCAAAATTAAGAAATTTAGTTACTGGTCAATGGCTAATTGTAGTATTTATAATAATGGCCACTTTTTAAGACATGTGACCACCTTTTAAAAATTTTAAACGATTAAAGAAATTGTTAATATTAAAAATATATTTCCTTTGAAATATTTCTTAAAATATAGCTAACATTACAATGTAAAAAAGAATCAAGTGGGATGGAAAGTAATTTTAAGAATATAAAGTATTTCTAATTGCATATTTATTAAAAAATGCACACTGGTGCATTTTTGCCGAAAAAAGAGCTGAATGACATATTTTTAAATTGTCATTTGCTATATCTAATCACCTTGGCGGCAACCTTTAATTTTTCCATATACCACTAGTGTAATTGAACACTATTCTTAACCCTTCATAAATGAATTTACCTTCTAAATGGAACTTTTACATGCCAAGAATAAAAACTGTGGCTGGCATGTATTTTTTTATTTTTTAGCCCTAGAAGCCCAAGCATGTTGATATTTCATTAGAAATATTGTAAAAACGCACTTCAAGTCCATAAATGCCAATCCCTATTTTTAAAATTGCAGAAGAAATTAAATTATAGAAGATTTTATGAAGTGCATTAAGAAAATATTTATAGCAATTAAAAATTGCAATATTAAATCATGAAATACCTAAAATTTTTCCAATATTTTAATACAAAACGTCTTATTACATAAAAAATTTAAATTCATTTTATTATATATATAT